AGGTTCTTTGATGACCTTCGTCCATATGCTCTGGTCCAGTTTGTGCCTTGCATTGCCATTCCTATAATGGCTATTTTGTTACCTCCAATGTACACACATTCAACATATTGGCTCTGGGCTGCAGGTTTGGATTTATGTTATAGTGTAATTCCCCCTTAATGTTTGTTATAACCACAAGCCATGCTTGTATTTTAAATAATTGCTTTCCAGGGTTTTATCTTTTAGCGAAAGTGCTAGAAGCTACTGATGAGGTGATCTATGGATGGACACACCATATTGTCAGTGGTCACACACTTAAGCATCTAGCTGCAGCAATGGTACCTGTATTCTTAACATTCATGCTTGCTAAAAGGAATGTTGAACCTGAGAGGTATTTGCATGTCTGCAACATTAAAACTGCGCATAATTAATGGACTCAATTGTTTCAGCATTGGTACTGCAAGAAAACAGCTTGCAATTGTGGGAATACGAGATATATAGTTCACACAATGAATTGGCATTAAGCTTAGGTCCTATCTGCCCTATTAAAATGTCTCAGCCTGGGCTATTGGATGTACATGGACATTGGAAAAAGAAAAGAAACATTAAGAAAGAGAACCTACCTGTTTCCCTCCTGAGTATATGAACTATGTTGATTACAAAATCTTGTAGTTCTTATTTTTCATCTGTCTTACAAACTATCGATCAGTAGAGTGACTTTCACTAGTAAATATGTGTTTTGTTGCATGTATCTCTTTAATTTAACTGTAAATTTAACTTATGATTGTTAGATTTTGTTAACCAAAATTGTGGGAACTAGTAGATTTGCGAGATTGTCAGCCATATTATGAATTTTACAATATTCACCCGTATGATTGTTGCATTAGTTGAAAACTTGCAGTTCATTACTTCATTTGCTGTTGTATTTTGGAAACTACTTTACAATTGCAATTTCAGTTTGACTACTATCTCGATTATTTGATTGCTGTGAATGTCATTTGATTGTTGTGATCTTCGTGCAGACAAAATTTGCTTAAAACTTGGAGGGTTTCTTGGATGAAGTTTAGAGAGGGCAACTTCAACATTGGGAGCTACTCTTACTCAGGCGTGGCAGTTGTGGAGACATAGTATGATGTTACTTTCCCATACAACAAAATAAGGGGGTATACTGGATTACCTAATATTGTTAAGCTTGAAAGTGGACCAGGTAAAGTGCCATCACTTTCATACAATAATATTATCCGTAATTAACTCTGTACAGTTTCCCATACGTACAATGTAGAGAGTATCTATTTTAGTTATGTATGTGTTATGTACTTTTTATTTGTCACCTCCTTCACACTCTGGTGGTGTTTGTCTCGAAAAAATATACTAAATGAAATTAGAATATATATGCTAGTTTGCAGTGCTCATCACAGTAAATTGAAGTTGAGCTGAAGTTTATATTAAAAACAACCAAACCAAGACAGAAGAAAAAGAATTCAGAATGAAAGAATAACTATTGTGTGTTTCAAGACATCCCCTCCCCCCAATAAATAGAAAGAGTATTTAAAATGAAACGTAAACAGTGTTAGAACATGATAATACTAGTAAAATGGTACTGCAACAAACAAAGATGAAAGAAACATAAAAATGAAGACAAGGTATTGAAATGTGGTTGTTTGGTTGTTACTCATCTAAAACAAGGACGGTGATCTAGAAGTTAGAACATACTTACAATACCTATATGAGTACTCTAGGATTAACCTTTTTTACTTGCTATGATTTTACCAATACTCATATAACTTGCTATGATTTTATCAGTTCACTTTTCTGATTTAGAGTTCATGACGATATCAAAGTCTTCACCACATTGTTATTTAGGACTAGATTTTTATTATCATATTTAAATTTCAAAGATAGAATCCATTTAATTTAGTAAAAGCTCTTTAAATGTAATAACCTCCCAATGATTTGGGCACATTTAGGTTGAAAAATTTATTCTTAATACTTTTCTTTAATTTAGAATTAACGTCATATATAGTGCTTACTAACTTAAAGTTACAATAGCCAAACTTCTTAAAGAAAGTTTTTGGTATACTGTTCTTGAAATAATAATATATTACCTCCCTTATAATTCTAAGTCGTAAAATTACACTTCTTCACTTATGACTTTCATTTCAAACTTATATTTTACAAATAATTTTGTTCTTGAAACTATATAATCACTTATACCAAAAGTTAATCTGTCGTTAAAATGTAGTTATATAATGTCACACTTACTTTTTTTAGATTTAGTGTACACATATTTATCAATATTTGTAAACATGGAGTCTAATTTTTTCTGGATCAATAAAATTTGTTTTCAAAAATTCATGAAATTATGGTTTTAATTTTAAAATTTTTTAAAAATTTAAAAAAATTAAAAATAAAAAGGGTGAAATAATTTTTTTTTTTTTAATTTTAAAAATTAAAAATTAAAATTCAAAAGTATTTTAATTTTAGACAAGAAAATAAAAGTTAGAAAATTCCTTTCAACAAAAGGAGATCATGAAAACAAAGAAAATAGAAAGAGCAATAAAAAAGGGAGCCCAAAGTTCGTTATCATTCTCACACCATCCAATTTTCCGTTTGTACTTGGTTCTTGTTTGGACATTTCTTCCCGAACCTCCAATTTTTCTTCATGCACCTTCATAAAATGATATATTCCAATTTTACCCTTATAAATTTGTGTGAAATATGAGAAGGTAACCATGTCACTTTCTTTACTTCTTCACCTTCTTCTAGTGGAGTGAGATGTGCGGTTTGAGGGTTTTAAGTAGGTTATAGATTGCATAATTTAGAACATGTTATTGGATTTGGAAACATGTTTCAGATTAAGCTTTCAGAAATATCTTTGAAGCATTCATTTCAGCTTAAGTAATCTAGAATATGCTTTTGAATCTAGTAAGACATTTAGGATTGAATATTTCATAATACAAACATTTGTTTTGAAATATCCAATCTAGAATGTGCTCCCAGAAGTATATATGCAGCTTTTGTTTCAGGGCTTGAATTTCAGCATTGGGGTTTGAAATACACCTATATGGGCCTCAACCTTTGTCTCCAACTTCACCTTTAGTGCCACCTTTGGTCCTCCTCAATCTTTGATCTATTCCTCTAAGCCCGGGAAAGTGCTACATACAACATGCCACAACCAAATGTTGTAGACAAATCAATGTGGATTCCCTCAAGAGTCATTCCTTGACACTTGTAAATGCTAATAGACCATGCCGATATCTGCGTTGTGCATGATACAACTTCAGGTCCATCCATTATATCCTACATTGCTGGCTTAATTGCCACAAATTTCCCTCCATTCATAAGCAGCCTTTAGCATGTCCAAATTATGTACCAACTGATAGCAACCCTCCAAGCAAAGGTGGTCCAAAGCTAGAAGAGAAGCTAGGGTGTTTGGTTCCTTAGATGGAGTTTGCGGAATATGGTGGGCAAAGGACAAGGACAATGAGGAAACTATGGTTGCAAGAGAGAAGGCTCGCGATCTTAGGTGGTTATATGGTAGTGGTGTGGTATTTGAAGACTCAAAGAAAAAGAAATGCTAGGTCAATTCTAAGAAGGTGATTAGAAGGATCTCATGGTTGCTCTAGTTTTGATTTTGAATTTTTCAAACTAAATATGTATTGTAATAAAAAAATATTATATTCTATTTTTTTTTACTTTCATCTCCTTTGTTATTCTTTTAGTATTTTGAATTCTTGTTTTGAAATTAACTCTGGATGTTTTTTTAAAAAAAATTAATTATTTGGATAAAATAGGTGTCAATATTTCTTTTTAATTATTTAGATAAAAATTGTTGTTAACATCGAACAAAAATGAGAGTTAAAACTTATTTGAGTTAATATTTTATATACACAACTTGTTTATCGTATTCTATAAAATTCTCATTGTTTTCTTGATTATTCTTTTTGAAACTTTCATAAGCCGATTAATATATATATATATTCGGTTAAACTCCCTCAGAAGTCCTTATTTATGTAGAATTTTTTCAGTTTGATTCCTGTCTTATAAGTTTTGCCAATTTAATCCTTAGAAAAATTGATTCAATTAAGCCCTTATCGTTAAATTGGCTTAACGAGATTAAGTTTTTGATGACTTGGAATGTTGACATGTTAAGTTTTTTATATGTGGTATTCAGATAGTTGTATACATGGAATTTAATAATATTTAACATTTTAAAAATAGGGTTTGTTGTTTACTTTTTCAAACACAGTAAACAATGACACCATCATCATTAACATCACGACCAGACCTTCTTCAACCATAGTGTGCAACAGATCCCTAACCTCCAGAGAAGGTAAGATAAACAACCCCAATCACAAGATCAAAACCTAAAAACATTACAATCTCAAAGGTTTTCTTCTTCACGGTACATTCCCATCATTGACGCGTCGTCGTCGTCTCCTTCCGCCATTGCGACGTCGTTCGCACTCTGGTGTGGTTGGAACTGAACCTGCGTCCACCATCGCGAGTCGCTTCGAAGGAGGAAAGCTCTCGCGACTCCCACCGCCCAGGTACGCCCATGCTCAGATCACCGTCGGCGCCACCGCTGTAGCCCCTAGCCATCAAAAAACTGATCTCCTACCTGCAAAACCCCTACTAGAACCGCGAAGGAGAAGAAAAGAAGAAAGTTGTCCCTCCTTAGGAGGCTGTACAGAACACCGTCTGAGTTGTGCCTCCGCAGCGTCGTCGCTTCCCGCCACCACTAGGATGTTGCTTCTGTTCGGGATGTAGAACATTTGCTTCCCAACTCTCGTTCCCCAACTTGAGTTTTGGTTTTCTTAAAAGAGAAATTTCCCAATTGGGGATTAATTAGGGTTTAGTCAGAAATTTCTCTCCTTTGGGGGCTTTTCCTGAGTAAAAAACTAGAGCTTTCTTTATCCCAAGCGCCTTTGGCTTTCTGATCGCATTGGGATATGTTTGTTCTTAGTACTTGACAACATATGTGCAACAACTTCATTTGTGCTTGTTATATGTTTTATTTTTCTTTTGCATCTGCTAGCATTATCAACTGCAGCTTGGAGAAATGATCCAAGTTTATGAATTTAACATAAGGTGTGCATTTAGTGCTTTTTCTATCATCAGAATGAAGAGTGGAATTGGTAAGATGAAGATGACATGAAAAAAATGTTCCAGACTAATGGATTCCGCTTCATAACAATGTTTTCAATGCACCAGATCTTGTTACCCTTCTGAATAAGACACTAAGGATTAATATTAGAAGTTTGATGCTCAATGTTGTGGCCAACAATGACACCATGGCAGTAGGGGAAGACAAGGTCAACGAGAACGATGAAATTAAGGTGCCATGTAAGAGTATGTTTGATTCTGGGGTATGTTCTTTCTCTAGTCTTGTTATTTCTACTTGGGAAATAGTTGACCAGCGCATTCCATGAACCCTGATTTTAAACAATTTTTAAAATGTTTTTTATAAAATACCACGTATAAAGATTTTTTTAATAAAAAGCCACACACAGGGTATGTGCAAGCCACGTGTCAAAAAATGTCCACGTCATCCTCACAGGTCATCAAAAACTTAAATCTGTTAAGTTGATTTAACGGCAAGGACCCAATTGAGTCAATTTTTCAATAAAACGGATCAAATTGGCAAAACTTATAAGACGGGGATCAAACTGGGAAAACCCCACATAAATAGGGACTTCTAAAGGGGTTTAACCTATATATTCCAAGATAACCAGAACAAAAAAAAATTAAATAGCATGATAGAAAATTTTTTTTTTAACAAATACCAAATACCAATTTGATGCATGTAAAATACTATAAATAAAAATATTAAGCATATTAATTGACATTTCAATGTAGAAATCAATTAAACAGATGATCCTTTCAAGTCAATGAAGTTGTTTCACCCTCACTTACTTTGTAACCATCCTTTAGTTCTATACATAAATCGCTAACCATGACAACATTAAGAGGTGATTCAATCAAATAATTATGTAAATAATAGGAAAATAAATTAATATAGTAAAAAAACTAGTATTCAATTTCTGTAACATGTAGAATAATAAGAAATAACTTGTGTCATAATTTTTTTAAATCCCATCCTTTATAAGTTGTTCATGAAATGCCAAACTATAATATAATACACATTACCTACTTTATTTTCTATAACACTTACATGTAGTAGAATGTGACTATTTATTTTCAACAATTTACTTAATTAGATTATTAAATTGGTTAACAAAAGTTTTTTAAGTTTTATAAATATGGACTTAATCCATATATATTATAATCACAAGTGAGTAATTGGAAACAAACAAAGTTGTTATCATTAGTGCAACGAAAGGATACAACAACGGTTATTTTTTACAATTAACAGTGGTTTGAGAATTGAGACATTA